TTGTTACGCTAATAGCTATGAGATATTTTCTCATCATGGCGTTGTAGGCTGAGTTGAGGCCTCTATCGTCGAAAATATTTATCATCTCCTTCCACGCAAGGCCTGTATATTCCAGGATTCATTCGATCCTTACTATCGCAGCTAAGTTTATTCAGCGTCTCCCGGAAGATTTGGAAAAAAAAACTAAATAATGATGCTATTTTTCATAAAATTAGGGCCTAGGATTCAACAGAGTTTTAGAAGGACTTGACGCTAATGACGCTTGTCATGGCGGGTAGCTGTAATCGTTCTCAGGGCTTCTATAGCTACTCTAGCTTCCGCAAGATGAAATTATGCATCTGTGATTTTATCGGCAGTAATCTGCTCTACCGAATTGCTCATGTTCCCGATTAATATTACAAAAACCCAGGATGGTTGGTGGCTATCGCCCCGGTTCAGTCGCATGAAATGCACGAGCAATTTTATGGTAGTACAATTCCCAGTATGATGTGGCTTTGGCTTCCATCACTTTTTTCATCCGGAAGAACGTGGTTGCAACGGTGTTTAAGTTAAAGGGGTGCCAGCGATTCTAGTACCGGTATGGAGGTTGACATCCCCAACACTCTGAGGTTGTGTATTTCTTCTATTTTGAGCCTAATATTATATCACATGTAATCTTCAATACCCAGAGAAATAGCGGATAATTGTGGCCAACCCGCTGATGCAGACCGCAGTCATTCGTTGTCAGGCTTCGGCGAGATTCAGATACTGAAGCTTGTTTACCGGGCTTGTATAATCAACCATAATGTTTAAAGGTAATGCCTTCATTGGTTTATCTGGTTACTGCTACCTACCAGACTTTTGTATCATGCAGCGTGATTTGAGTGGCTACCGTGCTATTGCTTGTGGATAGCAGGCCCACCTCGGTTCCTGGGCGAGAACTAGACATTTAACTGAAATTGGTAAATTAATGGATGCTTGAAAGCGCGATGTCGCATCGGACATTTCAGCGAGAGCTGGAACTCTGGAAACGCTCAGGCCTGTCATAAGTTGGGATAAATCTAAACGGGCTCATCTGATTTGATTCGCCGGTTGTTAGCTTGGCCGCAAACTTCATGCTGGCGACGGATTTCCTTGTTCTGCCTTTTTAAATTTCAACAATGGTGTAATTCAGCCCAATTCTTATGTTGGGTCGTTATACAGCCATATCACATTTTAATTACCGATGCAAACCTTGTTCCTCCCACTATACCTCATGTAACGGAGTGGCTCTTACCAGGCACAAATAGTCACGTGCATATCTAAGCCCTAGCTGGAATAAATATGTACAGGCGTGGAGAGAGCCAGGCTCCGAACACAAGATGGCATGAATAGAATGGATCCTTATTCATGACTGGCACGAGCCTATCACTCACGAATGAGGGTTGACTTGGGGTGAAGAAAAAGCCACCATAACTTCGCAGTGGTACTTGCAAATGAAATCTGAGGCATGAGTGCTCCTCTTGTAAATTGAGTCATCTTTTCTGTACTTTTCTTTGATATTGTGTCATATCTAGATAGCTGCATACGCAATTAAAATCTGATGCAAAAAAATAAGAGTCTATCACTCATGGAGTAAGACACGAAGGCTGATACTTCCCCGACGACTACACACAACAATAACTCAGTTTGGCGTTTGGACCACTCATGTAGTGGATGCATCCGCTAATACCACTCAAGACCTTTGTGCTAGGGACTTTCACCCTTCCCTTAACCCTTAATATCCACCAAAGAGAAAACAGGAAAACCCTTTGGCTACCCTAACATGCCGTTAAAAAATTTTATAAGTCTGCCGCACGAGATATGGCCTCTCGGTGCTCCCTTTCTCGAGTGAGGTAGGTGTCCAGGCTACCCAGACTTTAATTCGGGGAGATAGCTACCAGGAAGCGGACCACAATACCTTCCACCCTTGACTGCATTTTAAAGTGTCAGTGGCACTGCCCTGATCCTAGCCTCGGCGCCTACAAGCACTCCAAAGTCGAAAACATTCGAAAAGTGGAAGTCCCAGTATTCCCAATTTTGACCTCTTCACTCGCTCGTACCACATCCCAGCTACCTGTCCTCCCTCAAGATGTGAAGCCTCATTAGAGCATTGATTCCCTACGGATCAAGACCCGAGCTTTGTATACTATGACTCAGTTTACTCCTCGCGGATATACATCGCATCGCAGCTTTTTAGTCGAAGATGACTGATTTTTGATGTGACAAATTACTGACTGCAATTGGAGTAACGCTTCTCTCAGTAGTTAAAGCGAGCTGGTGTAGAGAGGCTGGGGTAAAAGAATCGCATGAAAATGACAGGTCCAATATTGACGAGAAGTCATAGATTTTAAATATGCTCGAGTTTGGTTTCGACTTGAATTCGAATAAGAATCTTCATGGCTTTCCTAGGTGTGCAGAGCATACTGAGCAACTGCACCGGCACTACTGGAAAGTGAAGAATTCGTCTTTGCCGGCTCCGAGGAATGAGTGATCAAGTCCTAAATTGAATTATTTGTTCTGTACTTTTTTTGATATAGTGTCATGGCTGGAAGGCTGCATACGCAATTATGATCTGATGCAAAAATAACAAAATTGGTCACAGTGCAGGTGACAATCTCAAAAACGTTATGGCTGTGTGGTGCAGTGGTACTTTTTGGGTCGGTCAACCAAGAAGAGTCTAGCTAGCCTGAACACCAAGTTTACATAAAAAAGGATATGACTAGTAGGAATACGACAGATACATGCTGCCTTTCTCAAGATACAGGTATGCGTGGATATCAAAAGGCTTTAAGACTTGCCTTTTTTGGGTAGTCATGGAGGAGGCTCGACTGCTCTGCGAAAGCAAATATCTCATGGAGTTATTTACGAATAAAATACAGAGTATGAGTGTCTCTATGGCGAAACAAGTCATTCATCATATCCAAATAGAACTGATCGTGTGCAATTGCTGGATATGTCGGATTATCCAAGACGTAAAAGTAGATGTGTCATCATGTGGAGATCACATGATGACCTCAGCACAGATGCGCTAGTCAGAATCCACAGTAAAGCTGTGAATCCTGTATAGCGTAGACAAGACAATTATGAGCATTTTAGACCAACACAGAATCGTACAACTCTTTACTGAATCATTACGATCGATCGTGAAACCACACCGTAGTCTATCCAACAGGATAGGTAATTAAATATATCTGTCGATTGATATAACGGCTTGATGACTCTTAATGTATTATCTTAGAAATGATAACCAGTTATGTTGATGAGTAATGAATTACCTGTCTAGGAATGGCGTTAGGAGAGAGGGATAACTACTTGTTGTTTTATTAAAGTCCTAAGCTAAAGCTCCAAATCCACTATGAGTACAGGACCGGTATTCACAGCTAGAACTACATCTAAGACATACCCAGCTTGATTCCACCGCATGAGCCACCACAAAACCAGCAGTCAGTTAAAAATATGCGCCGTCGCGAACTCCTACTCCCATAATCGACAAAAGAAAATTGTAAATTGCAAAGAAATTAGAACTGGAAGCAATACTCCTTGAGGAATAACTACTGTATATACGTTTGTTTGTTTTCTATTTTTCGTCCGTCGTATTGAAATGTATAACCCACTGCTTAGTTCGTGGACTTATTGGTAGGAGGAAGCTTATGCAATGATGAAAGATAATAGGATGTCAATTCGACTACTCTTCTAAGCACAGGTACCAGACTCCTTTTAACCCCAATACATAGCCCGTGCGGGATCTCCTATTAACAGCAGTAAACAACGCTTGCGGGTTGGATGGTGCAGTGGTACACCTTCCGGACCATTCTCCCAAGTAGATACTGGGTAGCTTGAACAGCTACTCCATTCGAGACAGGAGAAAGCTGGTTCGAATCAAGACAGACCCACACACCACACTCTCTCTCGCGGTGATGTTGTAATTATGGGATGATGAAAGCACACTCGGATAGCCACAGGGTTTTCACGCTTTTCCCTATGGTGAGTACGCGCGGAAGAGATTGTACGCCGTAAGGGTCAACCTCGAGTGGTATCTGCAAAAGAAATCTAAGTGTGAGTGTTCTAGATGTCAAGTCGAGTCATCCTACTTAAAGTACATATCTTCCGATAAAAACCTGCATGGGGCTCAAGGCGCCAAATAAGGTAAAATGATTTATATATATCTGAAGTAGCAAGACTCTCGCCTTATTTACCCAAAACAGTATCACGGAATATTCTAGTCTCCTCCATCTGACAGTACAATCTAGAAACACTTTCTATACAGTGCTCCATTGTTCCTCTACTCATCATGGAGCCACCTGGAAAGTTCTTCCTTCACCCTCAGTGATCATTACCCTTGTGCATCGTAATCCTAGGCATCACCAGCACAACACTAGCCACTTACATTAGTTGGTGAATATTGACTAACGCTTACATCGTCCAGCCAGTGCATTTCTTGTAACTAAGTGAGTGGTATAATCCGATAATCAAATTTCCGTATTCTATTTACTAGTACATGATCTGTTGATCTAATATATATCTCCCCTTTTTGTAACATTAGTGGCCAACTTGATCTAATCCACCATCGCCACATGGAATGCTACGTATGTTTCAAAAAATCATTGGATTACATCTCATCTATGAACAAGAATAAAATGGAAGACAAAGACACCAAGGTCCTACTGTTTTGAGTCTAATTGTTCCATCCTAGATATTGCTCGAGTGGTGTATTAGCACGTGATTCACTTCAAAGCTCCCTGTTAAGATCTTCCCGCTTGACAATAAGCAATACAATTACTGCTGACAAATAACGTCACAGAATATTCAGTATTTTTCTAATTTTAGTACCAGTACGGAGGTAATAAGCTAACAAGATAATAGCTCTGAATATTTATTATCCACCATAACCGAGAGCCTTGTCCACTCCAAAAGGTCAATCGGCTTGCCAGCTCGGTTCCCATGTTAAGCTGAACTAGCAGGAGAGGCCGTTTGAGCGGCATTCGTTCAAATCTATAATATTAGGATCTGCTACTTATTATATCATCTGATGATAGAACTTGATCTGGGTTTATTTGCAATTGTGCTCGGGCTTCGTCCGACACGTCTGAACTGTTGTAGCCGACTTGGATTCCTCCAGATTGGCTTTGTGCCACTTTTTTTTCACCGATATTTACATCGCCCACTATCTGACATGAAGAAGTCCCATGTATCCCGCCTACACTTATCATTGTAAAAGGGCTCGCAGCTGGACCATCTAAAGCCCTTAATTCATCTTCAGTGAACCATTTTGGTAAAAGGCATACCCTCAAAGGAATCAACAGTAAAATAATTACTGGAAACCCCACGGCCGCTATAGTTTGCGTAATGGCAAAAGTAGCACCAAAGCCAAAAACTTGAATGGCGACAAAAGCCCAGAGAGCTGAGCGTCTTATATGCTGGAGTGGCTCCGAAGACTGAATAAAGCTTTTATCTTTAAATAGAAAAAGAATTTTTAGAGTCATGCCGTTTCCTTCAAGAGCTTGGATACCCATAAGAAAAAAAAGACCGGCAAGAACACCTTGTGGAATGAGGTGGAGAATTAATAGAAATGGGCCGGTCATTGTTACTAGTGTAAGTAGCCCTTGAGCTAGATTTGAAACCCTTTGTTCGACAACGCGAGAGACTTTAACTTTATCATCTCCTTTCAATCCCTGGGCCGCATGTCTTACACACAAGGATTCAGTATGGAATGGTGCTTGCGGAATTAGGCCATTCGGATACGGAACCCCTATTATTCCCGCAATTCCAGTAGTTAACCCGAGAAGAAAGAGGTCCCAGTGAAAGCCAGCCGGTTTTCGAAGAGGAAACTCGGTTCCCTGAGCCATGAGTGAGGAGACTATCCACAACATTCAGAAATCTTGTTTTTATCTCTCTAGTAACTGTGAGTACGTACCATTGTGATCAAAGTAGAAAAGTATCGTTAGAAGAATTGCAAACGGTAAGGCGAGAAGGACATCGCTATAGTTGGCGTTCCAAAAAGGGACGAGCCAATCCCTATCTTTGGACGGGGTAAACGACTTACTTATTGGAAGCGTTTGGAGCGATATATTTTGCAGGTTTCCAATGTGGACAAAGCCGGTAAAAAATACTAGTGTGATTGGTGTACCGTAGTCTTTGATCAATACACGCACGTAATGTTGAAATAGATGACTAAAACCAACCAGGCCGCACAAATAACCAACAACTAAGACAAGAAGAGCAATTAAAATGGAAAGATAAAAGGGTTCTTTTCCATCTTGACGAGTGAGGACCTGGATACCCTTTTGTAGATAAATGAATGCAACGTAAAACCCGAAGATGTCACAGGAAAATTGGGTGACATATCTCATGTGATTACAAGCATTAGTGATTGCTAGAATCCAATGTATAATCATAGACCACCTGTAAGTGTCAGTTATTGGTTGTACATAGTGATTTGGGTTGTGTACAAGCCTACTAGAGCCATAAAGGCAAAAAAGTCTATACTATGAGGTGTAATGATATCATAGACGGTACTGCAATGAGGTCAATATATACAACTCACTCTTTTGGATTTGTATAAATTCACTAATTAAAAACAGTTATTGGACCAGTGACGCCAACAATTACTAGAGGCTGAGCTGCAAAAATAGCAAAAATTACGGATGCTAGAACGGATGATAACAAGACTTCATTTACACCAAAACTCATGTTAGTTTTCGTAAACCTGAGATTAGTTAGTGTAACATCTATCAATTTTGTATAGACTTACATATCCAACGAAAAGGCTAATGCTGGTAAAATACTATTAAAATCAGCCGCTAGAGGTCTGGGTAGGTAATCCAACTCGTCACTCTCTTGGGGTCACCAACTTTGCGAAATACATATAGACTGTTGCTGGTACAACTCTATAGTCCCAGGCATCTTGCCAGTCGCTCCAATAAAATGGGAACCTTCTCTTGATATCATTTACTATGCCCCTAAAAAGGTGTATTTTCCACCATTTTTCTTCACGGTCGCATTTAGTGCTTCGATTTTTAGGCCTCTGCTCAGGGGCTGTGATTGCTTCGAAGTTCATGACGTGACTGGAGTTTATTCTTTATCTAAAGAATACGCCAGCTTGAATTGGTAAACAGTGTACACTTGTGATAGACCGAAGTCGAGGCTGTTAATATCTGTGTCGTAGTTAATTCTTCAAAGGTCGCCGGTTAACCTCACATGGTAGGCAAGGCGAGACCATGGGTTCAAGTAAATTTGTAGAAGTACAGGGAATTATAATCCCTGATTCTTATCTGCTGAATTTATGATTTGAAGTTATTGGTAGAAGTGAAAAAGTGTCGGACTTGCAGAGCAAAATTCTTAGAAGGCTATGGAGGTGATGTCAGTGCCCCTCCTTTACCCCACTGACCAGTGTATTATTTTTTCTTCAAAACATGCATGAATTCAGTTTGCATGGCTGGTAGAATAATGGATGACCATGCGGTGGCCAATTTTAAAGCAGTGCCTGTCGATGAATAATGGCGACACAGTTGCATCATGGCAAGACTCCGGATCGAGCAATTGCATTGACCGGTAGATTAGAATTTCGAGCACCGATCTAAACTGTGGCAAAGCTTCTATCCAAATGAAGTTCCCTTTGAGGTATACTCTGTAGAAATGAAACCTTTTAGATTCTACTGGGATAATATGAGAACACTATTCATTGAATAGATGATTATCTTTATGAAATTTATGCTCATTCCTACTCAGGATCAATTTTATGTCATGCCTCCGGTTACGCAAGCAGGCACCTCCCCAGAGCGCCGAGATGCGGGAATCTACCATGATGATTGTCGCAGGGATATATTGATAGGCAAAGCATTTGGAGCCATCGGGTAGGGCTGTTATGTTGACGACTGCCGTCAATCAGACGATTAATTGGTAACAATAGAGATAAACACGATTCAAAGCCGCTTTCCCGTGCCGGAGCTTATCATACAACGGTTCTCACAGAAATATGTACAGCTGGATCTCCATGACGAGATCGGGGGGTGACCAGATTGTTATAGTCTGCTGTAAACCATGGGGCAGAGAACAAAAACTGGACACCTGTCTTTGGTGATTTCTGCAAGCCTAGAAGTAAAATATTATCCTGGAGCCGAGTTACGTCAAGTTTCGCAAAACTGAGGAAGTTGGCCCACGGGGCAATGATTAAACTCTCCCTATCGAATCAAATTTCCACTTCCAAAGAGATTGTTTCCGATCAAAGCATCATCCAGTCTACATGTACTAACCGGTATACTCTTCTTTCCATGACTATAACTTCCTTCAAATCAGTCTATAGCCTAAAGCCACCTCCAAATATACGCCCACTCCGATTATTATACCCGGTGGAGGAAACAAAACGTAGTGCACGAATCTGGGAGGCAGGTCTTTGGTACGTGCGTAAGAGAAATCAAGACAGATAGGTAAGGTAATACTAGGCATAGATACAATCTTGAACGAGTATTGACTTCGATTTTTGGAAAGGAGTCTTACTAATTAACCATTGTGCGCTACATGTCTGCTGTCGCGAGGGTGAATCTAATACTATAAAAACCGGTGTGGTTTGATGGCGCAGTGGTACATTATCTAGGCTCGTCTCCTAAGTAGATTCTGGATAGCCTGGACGCCTATCCCACTTGACACAAGAGATGGCTGGTTCGGATCTAACAAAACCGAGCCGCAATTCTCGCCGCACCGGTGGGCATTTACAGCAAAGGTTTTTGAATTTCCCTTGGTGGGTACTTACGTAGGAGCATCGACTGTTTATGTAAATGTATTTATATTCAGAATAAATAGAGTTTGAGATTCTCTGTATTCAAAAGACACATCTGACATGTAATATAGCTCGATAGCTGCATACATTTAAATGATACAAATTTTTTTGAAAGTGCGATATTCCCGCAAAGTCAAGATCCAGCTACACTTTATAATACGCACAATGCTGGCCAGTACTACTAAAATCGGGTCGTCAAATCATGCAAATTATCCTCTCGTGCAATGGCGATCTTTTAACCAGCTCTAGCTCTCTTGCATGATTACCTTTTGTTTTAATTCTAAAATCATGCCAAAATTACCTCCACTCAGTGTTTAGCCTTGACATGGCCTTCAAACACACGACCGTAGAGCCATCAATTTCGAGATAAATTCTGAATAGCGAAATACCCTAGTGGAAAGTTGCGATACTGAGAGATAACTAGGACTACGGGTAGGGGTTGGTATGCGCAGAGACAAGGAAAACCCTAGACAATTGGAGATGTATTTCAGAGAAAGCGTGCATGAAACACGTCAAGACTTCGAATGGATTTGCTGTCATTTAGCATCACGTGCAAATATATTAGCGTGCCAGCGTCCTTTCATTACTCTGTTTAGTTACAATGCAGATATTTCCCCCTCAAAAGCTCCCTCGAGCTCCGCTTGCCAGCAGCGACGTGGAGAAGCACCTACTAGATACCTGAGAGGGGACCCTCAGTTTCATCAAATGGCTTTGAGGTTTCTGGGCGCGCGTTGTGTACCTAGTAAATTGTGGGTGTGTGTGCGTAAGAATGAAATGTTATCACGTGGTGTCACGTGGCTCCTAACTACAATGGATCTTGTGTAGGGCTTGAGACTAATACGTGAATTCCTATCTGTCCCTAATTGTAGGATATCTATGCGCCTATATACCTCAATACTCTGTTACCCCTCAGCTCCAGTGAGATCTGCTCTTGTGACTGTGCGATCTGATCGTGTGAGACCATAAGACACTAGCATTTTGTCTATGTGCCTTACATCCAAAATCTGACTAACCCGTGACAATGTAGATCTTTTCAGGATCCATAGCTTGGTCTATCAGAGTTCTACACTAGGATTTGCCGTTGAAGACACATCACAGAAATTCAAAAATTGCCACCTAGTACATCAAGGTGCTCTTGTATAATGCTCGCTTGTAATTTGGCTCAGCTGAAACTGAGTATCCGGCTCATGAAGGGAACATTTTATTACAGCCAACCTGTAACATGGACCGTTGAAGTTAGTTCACGTGGCGCGCGTAGTTTCTTTTTATTTTTTTGCATCAGATTTTTATTGCGTATGCAGCTATCTAGTTACGTCACACTTTGAAAGAAAAGCACATAGTAGATGACTCAATGTAAATGAAGAGCACTCATGCCTTAGATTTCATTTGCAAGTATCACTACGAAGTTATGGCGGCTTTTTCTTCACCCCAAGTCAACCCTCATCCGTGAATACCCACCCAGGCGAACGTCTCAAAACCCTGAATTATCCAGACATGCCTCCATCATATTTCAAAATTTCTCCGCGCGAAATATGGTCTTTGATGCCTCCTTCCCAGGTAGAGTAAGTGGCCAGGCTACTCAAAATATACCAGAGAACACCCCCAGGAGGCGGACCACTACACCTTTCATCGTTGAATTGTGTTTATAGTGTCAGCTGCACTCTCGCAAGCGAAGTCTTGGCATGCGCAAAGCTCAATCCGTGAAACTCTTTGCCAAAATTTGTAATTTTATGCCTGTTCAGGTTGTTCCATCTTTTACATCATCTTGTGAACTTGTCTTAATTCTTCTCACGCCAATCCCAATGAACTTCCTCCCAGATTTGTGCGCCATGCTTAGCTTTCTGCCGCGAGTGTCAATATCGGTGTGAGCGCGTATTTGATGACCAGCTGAGGCCAGAGAAAATCGACGAGAGGTGTAGTCATTGGAATAATGATGTACTGGGTCGTACTTGTAGACTTCATGAGACTTAGGTAGGAGTCAAACTCGTTGGGAGTGAATGATTGACGTGGTGGAGTAATTTGAATCGTTGCCTCGTGGGTCAACTTTTTGAGTATTGCAAAATTTGACTGAACTTGGCTCTGGGAGAATATTTCACTCCCAGGTTCATCGTGGACATCGCGTACAGGTGTTCAGTCTTGCCCTCCAAGTTATAGAATTGGGCTTTTGGAGGCAAGTGTAGGCTGAAGAATTGGCTATCAGTCTAAACCACGTCAAGTTCTGGTTAGCTGTATTGGAATGGGGGATTTACACAGGAATGCGAGGGAGCAGTCTACTGTAACAAACCGATTTGAAGTTATTGGCTTTAGTTTTGTTACGTGAAGAGAGGATATACTGGGTAAGATGCCTCATCTTGATTTGTAATATTTAAGTCTGTATAGCTAAATAACTACGACAGACGATTGATGTGTTATACACATATCGGATGACTTCTGTGGTTCCAGAAACCCCCATACGCTATATCCCATTCGCAAATATCATTATTAGGTATGTTCGCGAGGTGCAAAATTGAAAATTCCTATCATCATATCCTCTTCGAACATGGGAGTGAATTATTCTGTCGTAGCCCAGATAAATCAATTCGCAATACTGAAGTTAGCGCGTGAAGCAATGATTCAATGCTCTCAACCAAATCAATTTTTTGAAACCAACAAGATCAATCCTCGCCAAAAGCTAGGAAAATCTGTAAATACGAATTATTAAGTCCTCATTTCGATGACCACACCTCTCGTATAATCAGCCTCCGTTCTTCATATATACGCCCACAAAGATATGAATACCCTATGGAGGAAACTAATCGTGGTGCACGAATATGGGAGGCAGGGCTTTGGTACGGACGTAAGAGAAATCAGGACAGATAGGTAAGGTTATACTAGGCATAGATGAGGTTCCTGATGGATTAGTATGTGTGAAAAGTGAGATTAGCTTAGCTTTAAGATGGCGTAGGTCACGGGTGTCTCGTGACTCCAATCTACCAATATATATAGTAGGGCTTAAGACTAGATGAACTTGATTTTCCAATAATACAGAGTATCGTCTATATAAGTACAGTATTCCTTATCTTGCGCCCGGACTCCAAAGTGAACAACATTACATAAGCATTACAATTTATCAGAGCCTCGTACTAATCTAGAGGTCTGTCATCCTTGGATCCTTATAGATACAATCTTGAAAGAGTATTGTTTTCGATTTTTTGGAAAAGAGTCTTACTAATTAACCATTGTGCGCTACATGTCTGCTGTCGCGAGGGTGAATCTAATACTATAAAAACCGGTGTGGTTTGATGGCGCAGTGGTACATTATCTAGGCTCGTCTCCTAAGTAGATTCTGGATAGCCTGGACGCCTATCCCACTTGACACAAGAGATAGCTGGTTCGAATTCGGCAAATGACAACCACATTTCTAGCGGCGCTGGTTTACATGGATGACGAAGGCATGCTTGGATAATTAACGATTTTGAAATAGTACAATTGGGGAGTCTTCAAGGAGGAGGATCTATATCCTGTAGTGGTGATTGCGAATGAAATCTAAATAATGGGAGTCACTGAAGCCATAGAATTCATCCTAGAGATACATGTACATTAATCATCTGTCATAGGTAGATAGCTCAATAGAGACTTATTAATTGACGTTAAACCCCAGCGCTCGCCTTGGTCCAGTGGAGATCCGTGCCTGCATGGCTCGCCCGAGAGCTGGGCTAATAGTGCAGCTGTGACCAGATGAATATTGTGCGTCCTTACATCATCTTCCACGCCTAACAAACTGCGCATCATCTGCTCTCGTGCCCATCAGTGGATGTTAGAGCACTTGTCGCCGCCGCCATCTTCACCTCCGCCCAATTTTACTCATCTCGAACCTTGGTCTTAAGAAAACTTGTCAAATGCTGGAGTAATCGTTAACTTTACTATCTATACTTATGCCACTCCCTAACTGCTCCTGCTGACCTCACAAATGGACAGATGGGTGGGCCACCGAGTATATTAAACACGTCCGCGACGCCTTACATCAAGTCATATAATCATCAGTCTATCTTGAATCAAATCACGAGTCCAAAGCTGGCTACAGAACGCGATGGACTGCTACCAATTATTAGTAATGGGTTGCGCTCAAATTCATCCACATCATTTGGACCTCGCGGCTCATCTTTGTTATCATCTCCGGCACCTGCAAGTCTCAGCTCAAATCTCCGAAGTCAGGCATTTTCAAAAGTAGGCCCTGGCCTCGACGTACTACCCATCATGAAAGGGTTCGAAAGAACAGAGGATGATGGTAGGACATCGGATCAAGCTTTAGCCAATCTTCGAGAATCGTTAAATCGAGAAATGAAAATCAAAGAAGGAAGCGAAAATATGTTGGAGGCCTTGAATACAAAAAAAGCAAAACAAACAAAAGAACAAAGATTACGAGTGGAAGCTGAGCTGAACTCTTCAAGCTTGAAAATAAAGGAATTAAAAGAAAAAATATCGAAATTTCAAAATTCACAAGCCTCTACATCTATAACAAATGATCCTCCAAATATTGGCCCGCAAAACGGGATAACTCCGCATCCGCTGATGGGATCTGATGAAGGTATCACTGGTCTAGGATTCAATAAATCGAGTGAATCGCCTACCTACGTACTTGCCGAAATCCTTCAAGCCCTTGAAGTCGAGGGCCTCAAACCTGACTACTACATCAGTCATGCAAATAACCTCGTCGAACTCTTCAAGAGTTATCCCACATTAAAATATGATCTAGCATGGCCAGTATTTGGTCTCCGGATGCAAGTAATGCTGCTCAGCGAAAGTCGAGAAGTTGTGGCTGCAGCATATAGAATGACTCGATATGCTATCACAGATCTAGCGTCCCTTCACAGAGTAAGATCACTTAGTACCGACTATATCGTAGTTCTGTAAGCAATTTAATCCAATACCCGACAATAGCTAACAAAATATAAGGTCCCTTGCCAAAGACAAAAAGGCTGATGTTGAAAGAGAGCAGGCTCTCAAGTTCGTACGCTCCTTCCTGGATGTCAAGGACGGCGTAAGGGAGATCTCTAAGGGAGTAATTAGAGCTATTGCTTCGGTTGCTGAGCACACAGAAGACCGCTTGAAATTTCTTTGTATCGAAACTCTCGCTGAAATCTTAGTTAAGGATCCATGTTTACTTGTGGCATCCGGAGGCCTAAGGCCACTAGCTGATGCACTAGGGGAAGGCAATTATCAAGCGTCACAAAGCCTTGCCGCGGCGTTTCTATATCTTCTTGACTCACCGCAGCGGAGGAAATATCTACGACCGGGATGCGAACTAGAAGTTCTATTCACCGCATTCACTGATTCTCTTTCAGCTAAAGAAAGTATATTGAAGCAGAACGCCAAGGCAATCTCGTATTCCTTGAAATCTTGGCCAGGTCTCATGACCCTATCTATGTACAACTTTAGAGCACTACGATCCTTGATATCATGTCTGATGATACGGAATACATCTGTCCGAGAAACAGTTATTGATATCCTTTACTCATTACTTCGCATCAAGCCACCTTTTTGGGCAACCTCGTTTTTAGCTGGTAGACGACTGACAACGTACGGTCGAGTTGCTACGATGAAAGCAAGCTCTCAAAGACTTGTTCAACTACCCGAGGAGGAGCCATGTGATAAGAGCTTTGTAGATCACTATACTGCTCTACTTTTGGCTGTATTGATTTCAATCGACCTTCTCCCAGGTCTTTTACAAGTGACTCGCGATACTGAGAACTCAATTCTTAAGCGAAAAACGACCCTTCTCATTGGCGAAGTTTTAAAACTCGCAAGTAATCTTCTTCCTTCCAGCTGGAGTTGCAATTTACAGCTTCTCCCAGAATTATTCGCGGCTGCTTCCAACTTTAACGATGAAGAGCGGTTTGATGCTACTGGTACTGTCTACCAAATTAGCAGTGTCAGTAGAACTCTCTACCGCTCTGCTCCTTCTACTGGAATATTAAATAGTGCCAACAGCGAGAGTAGCAACATAACAGAAATTCGTGATGAACTGCCTAAAACAACCCCAAATCCTATCCTAGATGAGACTACATTCCGTCAGTATCTAATTGAAAGCCAGGTTCTGTCTAGTACCAACCCATCAAAATGGAAATGGGATATAATCCTCAAAATCATCGAGGGTCCCTTGATAAACGGCAAACGCCTTGACGAGGCCATAAAGGCATCAAAGTTTATTAAGCGTATTATGAGCTTCTATAGACCTTTCAAGTTTAAATTTTCAGACATCAAGATTAATCGTTCGTCTTTCAAGTACGTAAGAGTAGGGTGTGCACTTATGAACACACTTCTCCAAACAGCTGAAGGCGTCAAATATCTCTCAGACAACAAAATGCTTCGCCAGGTAGCTGAATGTTTGGCTCAATGTGATCCAGTAAATCCCTCTATATTATTAATCGAAGAGAACTGACAGCAAGTAGACTAGTGGTCTGACGGCTCAAAGTCCAATGTTTTCTAGAGAAAGGCTACAAGAAACTTTGTGCTCTGGATATTTTGCACTACTTGGAATCATGACCAGGGATCCTAAAGGTTTACAGATATTAGACCGATGGAGAATGATGAATATGATTTATCACATTATTGACCTCCAAGAACGTCCTGATATGATTAAACTTGTTCTATCTAACTTTGATTATTCACTACTAGGACATCCTCGAGTACTTTTATCGAAAGCCTTGACTGCAGGATCGAAAGAAATTCGTGTCTTCGCCACTAACGTCTTGCGTAAGTTCTCTAGCAGGTCACGAAATGACGGTAAAGCCAGTCAAGGCAGTAGCGACTCTAAATGGGCAATACAACTACTCGTCACCCAGCTTTATGACCCAGAGGTAGAGGTATGTGCGACTGCAATTAAAATACTTGAAGAAGCCTGCAATCGCAAGAATGATCTTAAATATATTGTTGAGTGTCGACCCGCCTTAGATCATCTCGGAGAGATAGGTGCACCTTTACTCTTAAGATTTCTCTCAACTTCGATTGGATATCACTATCTTGATGGTTTGGACTATATTAGCAATGAAATGGATGACTGGTTTCTTGGAAGAAATGAAAATTATGTCGGGCTTATCGAAGCGAGTCTTGCCAGAGCCTTTATCGAAGTCTCGGAAGAATCAACTAATCAATTTAGTATTGATACGGATAACATTGAACTAGAAGGCGACAACGACCCTCACGTGCCACCTCACTTCTACCGAGAATTGACGAGGACTGTCGAAGGTTGCAAACTATTGCGTGATAAAGGTCACTTTGAAGAATTTGCTTCTGCGATCCGAGAATACGGAATGCTCTATGACGACTTAGAACTTGTTCTCAAAGTCAAAGGCTGCCTTTGGGCGGTTGGTAACGTAGGTTCTATGGAGCTGGGCGCCCCTTTTCTTGAAAACTCGGATGTCGTGCAGAATATCATTAAAATTGCTGAATCACATGAAATAATGAGCCTTCGAGGAACAGCATTTTTCGTATTGGGACTTATTTCACGAAGTGTTCATGGCCTAGAAATACTCTCTGAACACGGTTGGGATAGTCATACCACTATAATGGGTGATTCTCTAGGGCTTTGTATTCCGACTAATCTCGGTAAATTATTTTCCTACAAGCCATGGAGGCACGAAACAGTATCCGACATAATTATGACAAAACTCCAAAGTAAAGCAGTATTCACTGCCAGGCATGATGAAGACAGGAATAACCAGACAATTCTGCAGTTAGTAGTCGACTTAGGAAACACAGTATTACAGAAAAAGGCAATGATGGACTTGATGCAACAAAAAGCACGAAAAGCACCTGGATTTATGCAGCCAATTATGTTCCAGAAAATAATGAAATTGCTTGAATCCCACCATTACCGGCTGGGGGTGCGGCATTTTGTAGCGGAATTATTCGACAAAAGTGTGCTCAGAAAAGTAGTCCTCGACACAAACTACACCGATATTTTTCCCAGTGTTCTAGGAGATAATGATGAAGGTGAAGTATTAGTATCATCAATCGAAAATGAAGTAAAAATAGAGAGATAGCGAATTACGACTGGTGTTATGCAACCCTGAATTAGAGAGCATGATCTCTTATCCGAGATTTGCCCAGGGCGACATGAGAGATGAATTTTAAAATGTAAGAGTACCATGGGTCGGCGTGTGGCGTACTTAGATGGTACGATTGAAAAGGTTAGACAACGGTATTAAGGCCCTGTACATGATCTGGCGTAAGAAGGAAAAACCATGTTGGAGTGGGGTAGGACCAAACTATACGAGATAAAAATAGCCAAGCGGTTTCTGGCATTAAAGTTGACAGCTTCTAAATAGAAGATTATCAAGATATAGCGTCAAGTCTTAGTTTTGAACTTGATATGCGGATGTTTCCATACCTGCCAGCGGCCTGCTCACATGCTTCACTAATTCTCAAGACGTTTTCGACTACATATCTATCAAGGCCTAGGCTACAATGGTCTCTATGTGTGACTCGTGATCAAAGGGGGGTTAAGTGAACATGGGTAGTTGTAAACGAGATATTTTTTACGCGTTATCCATTCAGCCTTACACAGTTCTCAGCTTATGTCCAAGACTGCTGGAGACACGTTGAAAAGTGAGTTCTAATGACTTCTCGTCTAAAGACGCAAGTAGAGGCGCTTCTTGTTACGGGTTGGGCTCTATTGGTTTTGGCTGGCTTATTTTTGGCTCTAGGGCGCATCCTTATCGTTGGCGCAAGCGAGTTAGGGTTGGGGTAAATAAATGAATTAATGAATATTTATTCCTGACGGGCACGAGCCTAGCACTCATAAAGCATGACACGGAGAAGGCTAATCCTTCCTCGACGACTATACACAACGATAACTCAGTTTGAAGTTTGGACCACTCATGTATTGGATGCATTCTCTGATACCACTCAAGAAATTTGCGCTGGGGACTTTCAATTTTCCTTCAACCATTAATATCCAACAAAGGGAAAACAGGAAAAATCCTTGGTTACCCCAACATGCCTTTGTCATCCTGAATATAGCTGCCGTGCGAGATATAGGCTCACAGTCCTCCCTTTCTCGAGTGAGGTAGGTTTCCAGGCTACCCAGACTTTACTTCGGTGGGATAACGACTAGGGGGCGGAGCAAAACACCTTCTACCTTTGTCTATTCTTATAGTATCAGTAGCACTATCCGAAATCGTTGCCTCTACGCCCAAAGACACTTCAAAGTCAAAACATTCGAAAAATGGGAGTCCCATTATTCCTGTTTTTGACCTCCTTACTCGCTCGTCGCACGTTCCAACTGCCTGCCTCCCTCAAGATATGGATTCCCATTAGAGCAACGTTTCCCCATAGACCAAGACCCGAGCTTTGTTTATTATGACTTAGTTTCCTCCTCGTGGGTATAAATAGCGTCGTGAATTTGTTGTTGAAAATGGTCGATTTTCGATGAGGCAAATTCTCGATTGCAATTGGATTATCACTTTTATCAGAGGTGAAGGCGAGGTGGTGGAGGAAGATTGAGATAAAGGACTCGCGTGAGAATATTAGGTCCAACACTTGTCGAGAAGTCGTAAATTTTAGATGTGCTAGAGGTTGCTTTCGACTTCGATTCGGATGCGATTCTTCTTGGCTATCCCAGATATGCAGAGCATGCTGAGCGATTACTCTGACACCATTGGGAGGTGGTATATCCGTCTTCGCTGACGGCTAAGGAGTTTGATTTAGTTTAACGTCATGCCAGTGCACGGCACATGATCATTGTCACGAGCCGGACGGCTCAGTCCCTATAGAACTAACCAACGCCCTACAGCACTCAGAAACTTCAAAAGAGCTCGACCAGCAGTCCGCCAGAAGCATGAAGCCTAAACACCTATCAGTGGTGTCTTGTACGAACCTGATAATGAAAATTATCCCAGAGCCGAGAATTGTCATGAACTAGGGTGGGATGGATTTTATTCGATAGATTCTGGGCTTGGAGTTGTACTCGGTATTTTGGTGGAAAAATTAGTCAATTGAGATTTCACAACCGAAAGAAAGTCGAACAGAAGCTCATCACCACCAACATACGATTCAGGAATAGGACTAGTCCTATCTAGGGGATCGCATTCAAACAACCAACATCCCTCAAACTCCTTACATATTTACGACGAAGGATTTCTCAGTCAGTCCTACACCTGCGATCCACCTCTACACTTATCACATCACCAACCTACACACGCCATAATCAGGAAAGTCATGATGGAAATGGGACGTAAACAAAAGAGGAAAAAAAGTGAATTTACATCGAGGGAATCACACGGATCCTCAATGACGGCAACAACCCAATGGTACGATATGGAGGTGCAAGGCTAGAGCAACGATGAGATTCGAGACGACATTTATATTTCCAAGCCAATGAAGGTGTCAAGAGCTTGGGCGCACGATAGCCAAGACTGAGGAAAAATTCACGCTACGGTGTATGAAAAGCGGGTTTCTGGACGTACGGGCTTGTAAAAATGGAAGAGTTACATGGGAAGTGCGATAAAATTTTTTAGACTCTTGATACATATCATCTTAGTGGGATTATTACTGGAGTTGATAGATCAATAGAAAAGTGGCAAAATTGTATTGTTGTTAAACCAAAGTGGTACATCCCTGTATATAAGTAACACTGAGATCTCTTGAGGGACTATTCTCAACGCCTGCCAGTGGTGTCCCCTACAAACCTCCAGCTCTCACTGTAGAGTCTGCAGAGCCGAGATTGGGTAACTATGTCCTCACTTCGACCAGGATTCCCAATCGCTTTCGCCGTCTGTATCGTCTCCATCTCTCAACACATTCCCCTATCACCACTATCATGAAGCTAACCACGATCAGATCAGATGGTAGGGTCGGAGCCCTACTTGCCACCAACCCTTGATCATGGAGGAAAAGCCGTCCGATGAGTTTCCGGAGTGTACACAGCACCCGATACGACGATGGTGGATTGGATCAAGTCGGCCCCGACTGTTACAAAGAAGGGAGATATAGATGAATATGCGCATTTCATGTGGTCCCGGTGTCTAGACCTCGCCTAGCTGGGGCTGCAGGTTTCTTGAGACTTTTTCCCGCGCACGCAGTCTCCATTATTACCATTTTATTTTTATGGGTAGAAGGTTCCGTGGGAAGGTGGCGGAATTCCACGGGTAAACACTTAGCTGAATGGCTTTTCATCACAGGCAATATATCAATAATCTTACAAGTAACAAAGTAGGATAGGAATACTGTACAAGGTGTGGCCTGTGTCAGAGAGGAGCCCAATGTGCTAGATAGTCATAGACTCAAGTAGTGCTATAAACAAAAACACACCCACACACAATTTTTTGAAATTCGAATTTTTGAATCTTCACCCTTTCCCCCTCTCCCTCCCTCTCTCTCGATATCGTAATATCGTACGCCCTTAATTCAAAATTTGTGAGCGACTGGCAGGCTACCAATATGCCCCCAGTTCGCAGTAAGCCATCGCGGGCGAAAGACATCGTAGATAACCGCAAGCACCTCAAACACGTTGCTCGACAGAAAGCAAGCGTCAAGTTGGGCCCACTAACTGCCGTTCAAGAGATGAACATCGACCAATTAATCGACGAAAGTACCATAGATTGCGATATGATAGATGTTAGCAACTTTGACATTGACAAAATTCTTAAGAATCTGAAAAGACTACCTAACTCAATTCACTCCAAGCTAGATGCGACCGGAGCTGAAAATGCAGCGACGAGTCGCAACAATTTAGGGACAGCGACTACCGGACAGCATATACTTCCTCTCATTGAAGTCGCTGTGCCGGCTATGAGGCGGCCTGCGATTGCAGATACTAACAAGGCAAAAGGTGCAGCATCTACTCCGAACCCCCTGGAACATACACCAGGAACCACAGAAGAGAATCCTTCCCCTCAAGGTGGAAATGAAGGCAGGCAGACGGAGGAATGCCCCCCCGAACTCAGAGCCTTAATTGAGGCTGAGGAACGCCGGGCCGCAAAAACTGCGGAAAATGTAAAAATTTGCACCGCGGCAATAAACGGTGTCGAGAATGCTCTCTCCCCCCTATCCAAAGGGTCGAGTGTTCAATTTATAGACTCTATGAAAGTCTACATTAGAGCTGCCATAGCTCAACTCATGATATCGGGACCGGGTACAGTCCTCCCAGTACTTCCCTCGCGCCCTGAAACCCAGGCTACTGGCAGCAAGATTATAGAACGTGCCGCCAAAAAGCAGGATGAGCCACAAAGTAAAGTGACTCACGACAAAGTCTGCCAGGCCAAAACCACTTGGGCCTCAATCACCCGCACCGGTATAAAGACTCCCCCGGCAGCTACAAAAGTCGCGCAGGCCATGCCAAAGGCGGCAAGCTCGACGCGACCTTCAAAAGACCCGACCGTCCCAACGCAATCAGGCACCAAAGATGAACGCTTGTTTCTTCGCCTTGGAAATGAACACCCTTGGAGAAAGCTATCACCGCTTGGTGTTAGAGAGGCTGTGGCAAAAGTGCTTGAAATTCCTCAAGCCAATATTGAGCACGTATACCGTGTTCCAACTGGCTTCGCAATTAGAGCCGAAAACCAAGAGGCACGCGCCATCATGTTAAGCCTAGCTGGGTCCCTCATCCAGCAAGATGCCATACTGGAAGAAGCATCGGACCTGGGCTCACTTAGAATCGCAACAGTCCCAGTTGCCATTAATACAATAATGGGTAGAGTAATCGTCACTGAAGAGATGGTAACAGACGAGATAGTCAGGGTCACCAAGGCTGTTCCGGTAAAAGTTTGTCCACATGGGAAAAGCCGACTGGGCGCCCCATACCAGTCATGGGTGGCCCTTTTCGAAAAATCATCGATCCCTCGGCCAGGTTCCCGACTTTTCGACGACTCTGGGATTGCAGTCCGCCACCAGCCTCGTCAAAGCATCAACCAGTGCAAAAGATGCCTACAATTCCATGGCACCAGGGGCTGCTCCTGTGCCCCAGCCTGCTGGAATTGTACTTCAACTATGCATTCCATCGCGGAGTGCAAGGCACACACCAAGTGCCGCAACTGCGGAGGTC